TTTATTTACCACATTCATGCAATCACAAATGCCCAGTGAATGTTGATTTCACATTGAGGCCACTGGCATAATGCCTCAGGCATTAAATGCACGAACATTTCTTTAGAGCTGCTTAGCTGAAGTTTATCACGATCATTCAGTCATTGCCTAGCAACTTGTAAAGGCTATCAAAGAGCTCTTTGTCCTCAGTCCTGGCAAAAACAGTCCCTCACAGATCTCCTTATCAGCATTAGAACATTTATCAGGAAAAAAATGCTTCCACTGAAGTAAAGATTCCTGCAAAATTAAAGATACTTTTAGGAAGTGCTTCCTGAAGTAACTCCTATTAAAGCTTTTGTCTATTATTTGATAAACATTCCTTCTATTGCTGTATAATCTGGGACACATTTTAACAAAGCAGACCTAAACTCCTAAAAGCCTATCTCTTAAAAAATAAGCCAGACAGACTTTTCCACTCCCTTAGCTGAGAAGAATTACCATGTTATTTGTACAAAATAAGTGTTGAGATTCCTGGTTTGAATGTACTTCTTGTCACTTCATCAGGGAAGTAAAGAGTGATAAGGTTACTCCATCCAGTTGAAAAATGGTCCTGAATATCACATTGGAGAGAAGGCCCTATGCTTATTGATTTATTCAACAACTCCATATACTGGGTTCTGTAGTGAGAAATCAGGCACCATTTTATCCTCATGAAGTTGCCCAAATGTGTTAACTACCCTGGGTATAGTATGGGGTGTGATATCTCCTATCTGCATTCTTTCCTAACTCTCTCTGGAATTCATCTTCCCCCGCATCCTAACTGCCATTGATTCTGTTCAAGACTTTGGCATTTTTATCATTTTTTCATCATTTTTTCCAGGGTAATCCAAAATACCACTTGACAGGGCTTTTTTTTCCCCCAAGGCTTCCAGCTTCCTGAAAAACAAATTTAATGATGCCCCTCTTCATTATACATAGCATCCCCTTTAACACCAGGGGAAGTTCATACTTGGAAGTTCATCCAAGTATCCTGGCCATCTTGGATCTTTTTTACATGCCTACAGTCTGGCTGCCCAGATGCCTTTCCTACTAATCCCCAATTTCAGCTGTCCCTAATAGCTGAAATTCCTGGAGGATCAATACCTCTTTAAGCCTCTGAACTTTACACTCGCCATTCATTAGTCCAGAATCCCCCACCAACTTCACAAGCTACTTCCTATTATGACCATGAGGCCCAGGTGTGCCTGTTCTGGAGTTGTTACCACTCTGTCGTTGCAGGTTTTTCTTAGAGAACTTCTCTCCCACCAGCCAGCAACCAATAGACTTTTGAGTATTTATTGAGCTGCATTCTCTTTTCTGTCTTTAGCAAAAAAGTAAACAAAAAGATGTGTTGTAGAACCTTGCCAAGGTGGCAAAGGGTAGGATGAGATCAATGGAAATAATTGAGGAATAGCACACACAAATGCACAGACCTCCAAAAATGGTTAAGACAAATTTAGTTGTATTGCCACATTGGCCTTGCATAAAGGTTACACTAGAAGTCATATAATTAATGTGATTCTAGAGGGGCATGAGTCTTACTGCCTGAAGTTCCACGATTAGAAATTTATTGCTTAGATTCTTAACATGAATATTTTCTTAAAATAGAAATAATCTCTAGGGGAAGTAATACTTCAGCAATTATAAATTTATCTTATCCTTTCCAGATCATAAGGTAAAGGGAATGATAATCAGATCTTCTAATGATAGTAAGAAGATACAGAGATCTCAAGGAAAAGAGAAAGAATAGGAGAAAATGGTTCAGCTGAAAGAAAAAAGAGTTTCACACATTTCCCTGGAGTATCCCTGACTGAGACACACTTTGTTTTCAAAGATTAGACAGTAATATCTGAAAAATGACTCACTTTTATTGATGATAGAGAATATAAAAAGGAGCTGATTTTGTGGCAATTGTTATAATAGAATTGTTATAATTTACTTCTCCCAAAGAAAGACATCTCCACAATCTTAAAAGTTACTTAAAACTGAGTGTGTTCTGTTGAAACATGCTTATGTGATTGGAAACAGAAAGTTCGATAGATGATTTTTAGAATTCCTGTGAGTCTCTGGAAATGAAATGATGGATAAATCATGTGAAACAAGTTTATCCTTGCAGTAGATTTCCCTGCTATATTTTAGCCCTTGTTACTTCTATGAAAATTACCTGGACAAAATTGAATATGACTGATAGTTATACTAACCAGCTGGACAAACCTGTTAAGGAACCTATATAAAATAAAAGATCACTTTACCCAGATTTTCCACTTTGGCCTGCAGTCATTTGCTGAATATACTCTGACCAGGAATGTGCTAAGTCATTCATATATCACGATAATCTGTAATGTCAGAAAGCAGCATATACTTTTTGGGCTGAAGTGTACTCCATTCATCTTAACTACATTTTATTAAGTGCAATGTGCAGTAGAGATTTGGCAAGTGGCCTCATAAAAAAAAAAAATCGGGCCCTCCCTGGTGGCGCAGCGGGTTAAAGCACAGCACAAAGAAGCTTAAACCACTTCCACATGAGTTCGATCCCCGTCTGCCCCGGAGGAGATCCACATGGCGAGGCAGACCTCTCCTGACCCGCCCGCTGCTCTCCTCAGCAGTGTACTTCGTCCATCTGCCTATTCTGTATCCCACTCTGTCTCTGGTGAATCCTCTCACCCTCCGCATCTCTGGCCTGTACCCCAGTTCTGTACGAATAAATAAATAAATCTTTAAAAAAAAAATCACCAAAAATGATTGTCTATCCTCCTGTGAACTTCCATTCCACAAAAAATGGTGTTCAAAACCCAGCATTAGATTCCAATATGATTTTCTGATTAACTAGCTTGTAACTCAGATTCTCTAAAGTCCCAATTGGGACTTGCCGAATGGCTTCAGACCAAAATGATCAGTAGTACCAGGACATGTCCATGTAGCAGGCTGTTCCCACTTTCATCACCCTTAATTTATAGAGAGAGTAAAATATGGTAGATTAGCTTGTTGGTACTTCCTCCAAAATTGCAAGGCCATGTTTAGATTTGCAGCATCCTTCAGAAACAGTTCATTCCTCATTATGCTTGATACTTCTGCCTCATGCAGATCACCCTCACTTAACATTGGGCTACACTCTAGTAAATTCATCATAAATTGACGTTACCGTCATGCGTTCAAACATACCTAACTTTGTGAACATCATAGCTAGCTACCGTAAGTGTGCTCACTTACATGAAACTACAGTTGACCAAAATCATCTAGCACATAGTGTATTTTATAATAAAGTGTTGAGTAACTCAGTTCATTTATTGAATATTATACTGCAACTGAGAATGGAATGCCCCAACTCCAACTCAAAGTACAATTTCTAACGAATGTATTTCATTTTCACACCATTGTAGAGTCAAAAAAGTCCTTCAATCAAACCATTGTGGTGGGAACCATCGTGTAGGTTTGAGTAAAAACACCACGTAAGACTCTGGGTGGTATACCACACTTGGAGACTATGGTGTTTGCAATTCCATCTCTGTTTTTAAAAACCGATTGAGAAAAAAATCATAAATTTGCAAACTCATGAATAAGAAAATCATAATGGAGCCAAATACCCTGTTTCATACTATATAGAACACTTAAACTCCAGTCAGCTTTATAACAGGACTAATCTTCCTTCAGCCAAGCGGCCAAGCTAAAATAATACTGTATTGTGGATTCAAGCTAGACACAATGAGGTCTGTGGGCTTTCATGCCTGCTTAACAGCCTTTACCATGTGGGAGTCTTTCAGAAGGTAAAAGCAGAACAGTCAAAAACTGAAATTATGGTGCAGCAGTAATGACTGCATACCAATTAGCAAAGTTCACATTATAGTCTGGGAGGTTCTTATATCTTAAAGTTCAGGCCTTGGTAACTTTTCTCCTAGTCAATTTATAGTTAAACTGTAATAGAAAACACAGCCTTCTCAGCCTCTCCTCAGTACAGGCTGGTGTTAATGTTCTGGAATCCTTGAGTGTGTGTGCTCTTGTTCTTACCATCTTTTCGTTGGTCTGAGGCCAGCAGTTGCTAGTTCATTACTAATTATAATTCATTCTTATTGGCTCTCAATGCAAAGAGCATTTCTTTGAGAAGTGAAGAATTCTGACTTAAAAGAAAGGGGCCCCTGTTGTATTTCAAATACGAGCTTGCAAAAGAAATTTCCACTTACCTCAAATGAAAACTGATTTTATTTTTATTTTTGCAACTTTGGGTGTCTATGTTTCCCTGAAGCATTTGTTCATGACTTACTCTAATGTTTCTTTATTTCTAGAATGATAGTTAAACACCTACATATAATTTTATAAGAATCAACAGCTTGGACAGCGGCCACATGTAAAATCCATTGTGACAGTCTGCCATCATCTGTCCAATAGTAGACTGAATTTTTAAATGAGGAAATTGGTGGCACTGGTTATTGTGTCTTTCCGTCCTGCACATTGTATCATCAAAATATCATTCAATTGTGTGTGTTTCTTTGCTCCAGAGGAAGGTTTTTTTTTTTTGTAAAACAATTTAACTACTTTTTGCTTCACCTTATCTTTCCGTTTTGCTTGTTCTTCTGTGACACCAAAAAAAAAAAAAAAAGGAGGTGGCAAGAAATTGCTGAGGACCAAGGGATACAGCACTTTAATCAATTTTATTTTTAACATGCAATAATTTTTCACTTTGTTTATGTCTTTGATTTCTCTCTGTCATGCTTTGTTGATAAATTTAAAATAGAGTCCTTGGGCTTTTCCTTTGCTTCCTCCTCCTAAAGGACAAAAATTAGCACATGAAAGCATAACAAAGGCATTAGTTCCTCTTTTCCCTGGAAATATTTTTTCCAGAAATATTTCTGCAATTATTTTAATATGATATATGATCATACATGATATGATGATGTATATAAGTGAATTTTACCTCTCATTCACTGTGTGGTACTTAGACCTCATCCCTCCTTCCCACTTAGCCTAACCTCTGTGCATTGTTTCAGGTGTCCACTGTGACAGTGTGTGTGCTGAGGGACGCTGGGGTCCCAACTGCTCCTTACCCTGCTACTGTAAAAACGGAGCTTCGTGCTCCCCTGATGATGGCATCTGTGAGTGCGCGCCAGGATTCCGAGGCACCACTTGTCAGAGAAGTAAGTTTTTCATTAGGTGGCAGTTTCCATCTGCTCTTCTCAGAGCCTCTGGTACAGAATTATTCTCTGTGCCACAACCCTCAGTCTGTAGAGATGTTCTGTCATAGTCCAGGCTAAGAGAAGTGTTTCACTCAGTGGGTCACTCTGTCCTTTGCAGGACTGTCCTCAATAACACTTTCCCAAGAGATTGATTCTTTCCACCCTTCAGGACTCACCTAACAGATGGGGATTTCGCCATTTCTCCTCAGTAATGATTTCATCGCCTCATTGGCCTCATCATCAGAATATGTTTTTTGATTGTGCCTTAAATCTTGCAAATGGTGTTCCAGAAATCCATTGACCTGTAAATATTTTATTTAGCAATTTTGGCTTTAGTCTTACCTCAATTACCAGAAGTCAACATTAGCCAGACCTTCAGGCAAATCATACATCTTAGTAGTAGTCTTAAATTTGGTGCTAAGGGGAAATAGAGCTGCAGAATTAAAAGTGGAGGTGGTTGACATTAGTCAATAGAATTTTTGAATTAGGAAATGATCCATGAGGTTTTACTAAATCATTTAGTAAAGGTAATCAAGAAAGGAATATATGACTAATTATAAAATACATCATTCTAATTTTTAAATTGCTTTTTTTTTTTCATTCAGAGCTCTATGCAATCATCCTATATTTAAATCCAAGTAATATCTCAGGAAGAACCTAATTATATTGCACTTTACTTCTTCACTTTTTAATCACAATCATTAACCTAGACCACTTCGAGGAGCAACAGTTTTTTAACCCTGACTATAGATCTATTTATTGCAGTAATGACTCTTAAAGAATAAAGGATCAACACATGGTTTGAGAGTATTTATTTGGGGCTTGTTAGCATTTGCAATTTTATTTACTTCATTTATTTCTTCAACGAGAATCCTTCAAGCCTCTGTTCTATGCCAAACCTCAAGTTAATTGGGACCATAAATGGGAAAATAAAGAGACCTAAAACATGTGCCTGCCCGCAGGCATTTCAGAGTTTTCATTATTAAAGCGTGCCCTTGTTGCTTCTGTTGTTATTTTATATTAGAAGATGCTTACTAGCATTAAAAAAATGTTTACCCCCCAAACTGGGCCTAGATTCTGATGTTGAATATCAGAGACCATTGTCTCAGGGAAGAAAACTGTGCATTTCCATTCTGTCTTCAGTCTGCTCGCCTGGTTTCTATGGGCATCGCTGCAGCCAGACCTGTCCACAGTGTGTGCATAGCAGTGGACCCTGCCACCACATCACCGGCCTGTGTGACTGCTTGCCTGGTTTCACTGGCGCCCTCTGCAATGAAGGTAAGCATCACCTAAATTTTTGGGGATACACATGATGATGAGGAAGCCACATGGAATCTGTCCTCGGGCTTCTCCAAAGACAGATTTTTATTTACCAGCTTTCCTGTATGCTGTGTTTACAGCTTCTGCAAACATGACTCTAAGCTTTGGGAAAGTGGGCTTGTCACCCCCAGAAAAATCTCTTTATCTTCTGAGCTATGCTGCAATTTCAGTTTTAATTGGAAACAGCCGCCCATGAAAAGTCAATATGAGGAATGATTTTGACTCCCTGAATGAGAAGTCAAGGTTTCTAGAAATGCTGATGTCTACTGGATTGTGATGCCTTCCTTAGGGTCTTTGGCTTCCTGTCTTTGTAACAGCAAGCCCATGCAAAGGAGGGGTACTGGGAGAGTAGGGACAGCTACTCAAATGGGCAGCTGGATTGATGACCTTTAAAATCATTTCCTGTCTAGGGCTCTGGTATATGAGATGCTTTTGTGTGACTGACTTATAACTTATTCACAGTGTGTCCCAGTGGCAGATTTGGGAAGAATTGTGCAGGAATTTGTACTTGTACCAACAATGGAACTTGTAACCCCATTGACAGATCTTGTCAATGTTACCCTGGTTGGATCGGCAGTGACTGCTCTCAGCGTAAGTCTATTTTTTTTTGCTTGTTTGTTTGTTTGTTTGTTTAGAACAAGATCAAATTCTTTTGTTTATTTATTTCAGGTTCTTTAGGATTAAGTATGAGAGGTTATGTAATCCAAAAATAATACGTGAATAATTCTAAGATACCTTATTTTAGTTTTTAAACACATTAAAAGTGCTATCCAGGCTCTCCCTGGTGGCGCAGTGGGTTAAAGCACAGCACTAAGAAGCTTAAGCCACTTCCACATGAGTTCCATCCCTGCCTGCGCCGGAGGAGATCCACGTGGCGTGGCAGACCTCTCCTGACCCGCCCGCTGCTCCACTCAGCAGTGTACTTTGTCGATCTGTCTGTTCTGCTCCCTGCTCTGTCTCTGGTGAATCCTCTCACCCTCCACATCTCTGGCCTGTACTCCAGTTCTGTATGAATAAATAAATAAATCTTAAAAAAAAAAAAGTGCTATCCAAATCCAAATAATAAATCTGGATTTAAATTGAATTCCAAATAGTAACTTAAAAGAGCCTAATTAGGTGGCACTTTGCTTATTCACTTTTCAAGGATTCTTCAGCCTTAAAATGATATTATACTTAGAAAATCCATTCTAAGCTTTATGTCAAACCTCATGTCAGCTATTTATTATTACTTTGCTCTTGGACAAAAATGGCTCACACAATTATAAAATAATTTTTTTTTTTCATTTAAAAATTTACATCAGATTGATTTGTCTTTATTAGGTTATATACTCCCTACTTGGCAACCATATAGAAATTACAAGTGGTCCTGCTTTTAAGCAATTATGCTCTTGAAGCATTAGTATAAATAAAAAGTCTTTCTTTTGGTAAATCAAATCATTTTACCCATAATCTTAAATTATTCCCAAATACTTTATCCAAACTTTGATTGCTCTTCAATGGGCAGTAACCCCAATGATTTCATTTTATTGTTTTCTGCTTCTTCCAATTAAGAGTCTTTATAAGTGAATCAATTCTTACATACAGCGAGCTTGAAGACAAACTGTAGTATCAACACCAGAGCAGAGTGTAGGCTTTAGAGATTATAGACATAAATGCTAAACTACTGGACCCCTTCTCTCTTGGGTCACGTCTTTCTGCCCATCTGATCTCTGCTCAGATGTCTTTTCAGAGAGATCTTTCCTAAAGGAATACCTCCTTCCATTTTGTTCCCCTTACCCTATTAGATATTTTCTTTTTTTTAAATTATTTTATTTTCATAGTATTGATTGCCATTGTTTTTTTTTGGTTGACAGTTTCATTGCTTGTTTGGTTGGTTGGTTGGTTTGACTGCCTCCCTTACTGAAAAATAAGCTTGCAGGGGATTGTCTATCTTCATTTTGTCCTCTGCTTCTTTTAAAAGTACTAGACACATAGGTACTGCGTAGACATTTGTCAAATAATTAAATCTGTAAACCTTGACATGATTTTTGCTGCCCTCCCTCAGTGTGAATGAATCATCAGTAACGACATTGCTGGTGTAGTCAGCATTGCCATTTGGGTTTTCACGGAGTTTGGAGCACTGTGCTTTCTTTGTCCTCATGCACACTAACTTCTCACGAAAAAGAGATGAGCAGGGTGGATGGAATTCTCTCTGCTGGGTGCTGGCCTCAGATCTGACAGACCTCTGTACACATGCTGTGCTTTCAGCTTGTCCACCTGCCCACTGGGGCCCGAACTGCATCCACACGTGCAACTGCCACAATGGAGCCTTCTGCAGTGCCTACGACGGGGAATGTAAATGCACTCCTGGCTGGACAGGCCTTTACTGCACTCAGAGTAAGCCACGGGCCTGCTGAGGCTCACCCCGCGGGCCACACCCTAAGAAGAAACAGCCTCGTGTGTTTTGTGCATGAGAGGAGCTCATCAGGATCCCCTGACATTAGTGTTGCATCTGCCCAGACACCTGTAGTCATCCAGGTGGCTCAGAGGTGTCACATGCCAAAATTTCTGTCTCTGCATGACATCAGGATACTGAGGCAGAGCAATGCTATATGGGTGCAGGTGTACTGTTCTTTCCCTTCCCTCCTTTAACAGACGCTGTTTATATGGACCAAACTCATTTATTTTAACAACACAAAGGTTAGGATAAGTGACAGCAATTAGAAGGGGAGTGTGCTCTTGGAGAACAGGATGCAATGGTTCTCAAGCTTTAGTGAGTTTTGAAATCACCTGGAGGGCTTAAAAAACTCCTACATTTCATAGCCTCATTTCATAGGGCTGGGGCTAGGTTCTGTAGTTCACATTTTTAATACTTTTCTTCATATTGATGCCAGCCTAGGACTGTGCTTTAAGAACTACCATTTGTTTGTTTTCCTTTTCCCCCTACAGTGTTCTAATCATTTGAATTTCCATGAGGTTTGAACATTATAGGATATAAATTGCCAAGTCCTCCAGAGCTCAGCACCATTGGGAAAAAGGACTGTTCTCTGCCCCCTTGTCTTTGACTGGGTAGGAGAGATAAGACAGGAAAGCATGTATTCTGGTTATCCTTAATAATACTATATGCTTTTAAATGAAAGAAATGCTGAGGTGAAAGATAAGGTCAGAAATTAGGTAATTAGAAAATGTAACTAGGAAATAGCCTGAACAAATCTTTTAGAATTTCTAGAAGGCAGTATATACACTAAATTGTGGCTTAAAGGTGGAAATTAGCAAGAAAAGAGGTTTTTCTAAGCATATTCTGCAAAGATTATATAGGGGTAAATGGCACAAAAAAATGAGGTTCTCAAGTTCTTGGTGTCTGGGTGCATATAAAGTTTATATTTACATTATAATGCAGTTTATTAAGTGTGAAATAACAGTGTTTCTTTTAAAAACTAGATGTATTGCAAGTTGCCAAAACCCTTTTATAGTTTCAATTTTATACAAAAAAAAGCAAAATATGCAAAACCCAGTACAGCAAAGCATAATCAAACAAGGGATGCATATACATATGTAAATATATATATTTATAACTTTTATATATCTATAAAAGTTATATATCTATATATGTGTGTGTGTATGTGTGTATGTGTATATATATATATATACATACCTACATACATACATACATATGTATAAGTTTCTAAATTCCTACATTTCAAAATTAGAGCCTGTTTTCAACAGAGGAACATTTTCAGTAGAAGTAGCATAGTGTAGAGTGGGAAGATCCCCCTGAGGTCTGGAGCCAGACCTACCGCATTGACATAGCAGCCCTGTCTCTGCCATTTGCCAGTGTGTGACTTAGGGCACTCTGGGCTCACTTCCCATCTAGAGGACAAGAACATTCTCCCTGCATTTCCAAGCTACTGAAAAGAGTCCATGAGAGTATGTGTGAAAAGAGGAGAGGTTCTAAATAAATCCATGGCATTGGTGGCTGTGTTTAGATGCTGGTGTTTTTGTCAAGCCTCTGTTTATTGGAACCTGAGCTTTCCTTAAAACCTCACCATAAAAAGGAAAAATAAAAAGCACCTGTAATACTTGGGAACAGTCACCAGTTATTGAAAATGTTCATAATACCAAAGAGCCCTGAAAACTCCTGTAGGGTAACTGCTGGCCCAGGAAAGCCAGTAGGGCTTGTAAACATCTTTGGTCCTAGGGTCCAGGTGTCTGGGTTTTGAAAACTGTGCACAGTGGGAAGACTTGTTAATTTTTTTAAAAGCACCTGTGAAGTGCAGGGTTTTTTTTTAAATACAGCATTCTACCACATATTTTTAGCAAAGAAGATAATATTATCTTAGTAAGTAATGGATACAGCAGATTTTCACACTGAGGAAGAACGTCAAGGTAATTTTAATATAAAGCTCTCTTTTCAATCCATGGAATTTGAATCCCGGATTCTAAGAGTTGAGGGAAAGAAGAGAGGAAGTACCTCATACTCTGAGGATTTGAAGGGATGCTTTGTTAGAAGACATTAGTCTTGTTTCCAGGGCTACAGACTTACTATTACAGTCACAGTTCAACTGGAAGGTATGCAACTGTTCTGCTCTTGCTTATGAATCACAACCTCCTTGCAAGAAGCCTTCTTAGGACCTGAAAATCTTTGTAACTGGAGCTAAGCTATGTACTCTTTCTTGTCTTGGTCACTCTAATGCCTCTGTGGCCTTCAGGTTTGAAGATAAGCGTGTCAGGGACTCAAACTGTCTCTCCTCATCAGCCTCTTGACCCCCACTGCTCTTTCTCCTGACACAGGGTGTCCACTGGGGTTTTATGGAAAGGACTGTGCCTTGATATGCCAGTGCCAAAATGGAGCTGACTGTGACCACATCTCCGGGCAGTGTACTTGCCGCACAGGGTTCATGGGAAAGCACTGTGAGCAGAGTAAGTATGAAGACATGCTGTCTCTAGAACAGTGTTTGTTTCCCTAGAATCAATTTTCCTAGATGTCTGAACACGCTATGGCAGAACCCAAAGATTTAAGTTGTTTGAGTTGATGGCTAGACACTTGTTGGCTAGGTTGATGATCCTTGCTGGCTGTTTTGCCCTTGCAATCCTTCTGAGAAATTACTCAGAGCTCTGGGTGGAGGGGGCATGGCTATAAGGATAAAGACAGAATTCAAGTTTTCCATCTGTTCATCCTGGCTCATTCGTCCTCTTTCTTATTTTTGGAACAAGAGTTGTTCAGCTTCTTAAAGGAACCAGTCGAGCTCTTTTCCTGGAGAGAGGCTGCCAGGGTCTCACCCTGGACCAGAGTGCATCCAGTGGTGGGGAGAGGGCTCAGAACCCAGGGTCTGCCCCATTTTGGTGAGGGAACAGGTCCATGTAGACTTTCAACAACCTACACTAGAGTGTATGTTTATACCGTTTCCATTAACAACTCCTCGTCTTCGTTTTACTAACCTTCAAGGCAGCATATTGCTTATAAAAATTCCACTCTTGGGGAATGACCCATCCTGTTTTTCCATTTCCACCCATGAGCTATAAGAACATGAGTCTGAGGCTGAGTATTTCAAATTGGTCCATTGTCCTTCTCCTGTACATCTTTTCAGTCAATATTTCAGGTGAATAAGCAAGGCCTTCCTTAGAGAGCTCTGTAGGTCCTCACTCTCTTACTGTGTGCAGGACATTTCCCATGCATCAAAGGCTGCACTGTGAGGAAGGTCTCATGGCTGGAAGAGCAGTGTAGGGTTGATCAGCCTCCAGGGTACTAGAAATAAAGCATCACACTTCCTCCACCCACAGGCACCTCCACCTCACCCCTGGACAGCCAGGTTGCCTGCTCCTGAATGTTAAACCTTAAAATATTTTTGCATATCCCCCTGTCTAGCAAATATAACAAGAATGACAACCAGCAATCAGCTTGGAGAGAGGTAGCCCAATTTTAGATTTGTACTTCTAGTTTAATTTAATCTTGAAACATTTACCAAGTCACACATCTGCCTATGTGCACAGGGCCTCTTTGTGTATGTAGTATGTGTGTAGGTGGGTAAATGTCTAAATGTGTGTGTGTACATAAAAACCAGGCTCTGAGCTGATTTTAGCTTAAATGACAGACTGGTTATGGTCTTAATTAATGAAAGACTCATTTATTTATTCATTCATTTATATATTTAATTTTAAGTTGAGGTAATATTGGGACACCCCGTCAAATATTACCACCATAGTGTGCCCACCACCAACTCACTCATAATCCACTATCATAGACTCATAATCCACTATCATAGCACTATCATTGTGCTTCCTCCCCCCTGTATTCTTACCCTCCCCAAATAAAAGTGCTTCCATCATTACTCTGAACATCATATTTAAAGTGTCCTGATTTTTGGAGCATTTTTCCAGTGCTCCTTTGTAAACAGAAACTCTGGTTTTGTCAGAGAATTCTGATGATAATAGCACATTGCCCTCTGCTGTTCACTTTTCAAAGAACATTGGTGTTTTCTATTGATTATAGGTTCAACATGTCTGAACTATTTAAAATTCATGCCCAACTTTTACTAGGACTACATCATTAAGTCCCATTATTTTCTCCACTGTAGTTAGACAACAACCTTCAAATCTAAACTACAAAGTTCTGAACTAGAAATTCGCAAAAGATGTCCCCCCCCCGCCCCTCTTTCTCTGTACCCAGCTAATGCGGGTCAAAATCTACCTATGGGAGGATTCCTGGGCCAAAAGTAAGATACACATTTCTTAAGGAAACATTTCTAGCTTATACCTTTGGTCTACTCCCCTTCTATCTTATAGTTTTGCCTGGTGGAGTCATCTCAAATTGTTCAATAGTGTATCATCAATTCTTTCAAGGCCCCACAGATTGGGTGCACCCATCAGAGAGGCAGGTACATAAAAGCCAAGAGTCAGAAGCCACCATGAAGAACTTAGTCTTCCAGCCTGTGTCACCTGGCCTCTGAGTCCCATCTTGGTTCCAGGGATGCTGGCTATTTCTGGGGCACCCTGGATGGTACAATTCTGCCTGAACAGGACTAATCCCTCCAGACACAGCACGTCCTCCTCAAAGAGATAACCTGGCCCCAAATTCCCAAGCCTGGAGAGCTACACTGAACTCTCCTCTCCTCTCAGAGTGCCCTGCAGGTACATATGGCTATGGCTGTCGCCAGATATGTGACTGTCTGAACAACTCTACTTGTGACCACATCACTGGGACCTGTTATTGCAGCCCGGGATGGAAGGGGGCTCGATGTGATCAAGGTAAGGGCCTAGAAATAGAATTTCCTTGTATTGTGTGACTACCTGCCTCTCAACTTTATTTTCGCCTCCATTATATCGTTTCTAATCCTCATCATGACTTTACAGGTGTAGCTGGTTATTTATTTGGTTGTCAGATGGCTGCTTTATTGTTGCTATCTTACAGATGAAGAAGAAACTAAAGTTCAGAGAGGTTGGGTACTTTTCCCAAAGTCATATAGCTAATAAGCAAAATATGTCTGGGCTTTGATGTCAAGTTTTTCTGGTTCCAAAACTCATGAACTTTCCAATGTGATTACAATTTTATTGAGGTAAAAATAATAATGATTTATAAACTTATGTGTATAAATGTCCATGTATAAATCATTATTTTCATATATAATTATGTGCTATAATTATACTATTATATATTATGTACTATACACTTGTGTATATACATATCTATATAATGAAATATACACAGATACATAGCACCTATAGACAACACAAAGTATACAATTTCATAAAACCTGATATATATATATATATATATATAATATATATATTTATATGTCATGAAGTCTTCACCACAATAAAGATGATAAATATATACACTTGTGTATATACATATCTATATAATGAAATATACACAGATACATAGCACCTATAGACAACACAAAGTATACAATTTCATAAAACCTGATATATATATATATATATATAATATATATATATATTTATGTCATGAAGTCTTCACCACAATAAAGATGATAAATATATTCATCACCCCCAAAAGTTTCCTGTTTACCACTATTTTGCTTTAGGCCCAACCACCACTGCTCTAATTTCTGTCACTATTAAGTAGTATTCATTTTTAAAATTTCATATAAATGGAATCATACTGTACTCTTGTCTAATTTTGTTTACTCACCATAATTATTTTGACATTCAACCATCTTTTATATATCAATTGTCCTGTTCTGTTTTTTGCTGCAGAATAATCCACTGTGTGAATATATCATGTTCATTCACCCATTCATCTGGTGATGGACTTTTGAACTGTTTCCTGTTTGGGTATTGCAGATAAAACTTCTATCAACAATAACATATCAAACTTTTACTTAGGCATATGCTTTTATTTCTGTTGGGTCAATTCATAGGAGTAGATGATGGGGTCATAGGGAAGATAGATGTTTAACTTCTTAATAAGCTTGTGCCTGTGGTTTTTAAGTAAAGTGTTTGTCCACTTGGGCATAGCTGATTCTGGAGTCACTGGAATGTTTGAGAAAGTTCTTCTGGTGATTCTGTAACATGGCTCAGAGAGCTCCTTCTGTGTGTGATGCTTTTCATTGGTAATAAGCACATGGACAAAAAGCTTTAGGAAATTCAGTGTTGTAGGTGAGTTGCCTTAAACTGTAGGCCACATAAGGCACTCTTACTTTCTTTTGTAACAAAACTTTTGCATGCTCATGATTAATATTTGACTTCCATAGCAACAGGATAAATTACACAATCACTATCACAAATGCTTTGAAATGGCATGACACCTTAGTGCTCTACTTTTCAGAAACTCTAGCATTCAGAATCACAAGGTCATGGAGACCTTTGAATGAATTACCTTCTTTGAGATCAGTTTCCTCCTTACAGATTGTGAAACTGTAGCCTAAGAGCATAAGGGAAAGTTCAAATATATGTATCAGGTCTATTTGTTTTGGATGCCAGGTTTCTTAACTCAATGCATATCTTTAACCTTCTCACTGAAGGGAACATGGAGAAGAACTATAAAAAGCTGAATTTTTAATTTAAAATAATTTAGAATATTTAATTTAGAGTAATGTTATCAGGTACTACTAAATTAGATAATAACTACATAGAACAATATTTTCTGAGGTAAAACACCTGTTGAAATTAGCCTAACATAGATCCTGATGTTGGACTAGATTTAGAATAGGGTTATTCTTGTTTGGAAGGAAAATTACCATTAAAATGCTAAGGATAGACATCAAATCAGACAGTTGAGATATTTAGGAGGTAACCCTTATAGGATTAATAGTGAATAACAAATAGAGTACAATTAATAGCTCATTTAAGTCTTTACCCTGAAATATATCAGAGGCACCCAAGCCCTGCTAACTCTGGCTTCAGGAAATGTTATCTCTCTTTTGAGGTTTAGAACAGCCTTTTTCTGGCTATAAACAAGTCAATATCTAAAAATGAGGATTTCTTTCCCTTACTGCTATTTCCAAAATTTAATATTTCATGAACTGAAAATATCCAGCCATTAGCACCATGGGAGATTCTTGTGAATAAAGATCAAACATTTATCCAGTACACTGTCATCCTTACATCTCTTTTTCTCCTTTTTCTAGCTGGTGTTATAATAGTTGGAAATCTGAACAGCCTAAGCCGCACCAGTACGGCTCTGCCTGCTGACTCCTACCAGATCGGGGCCATTGCGGGTATCATCATTCTTGTCCTAGTTGTTCTTTTCCTCCTGGCGTTGTTCATTATTTATAGACACAAGCAGAAGGGAAAGGAATCAAGCATGCCAGCAGTTACCTACACCCCTGCCATGAGGGTCATGAATGCAGACTATGCCATTTCAGGTAAGACTAGGGTCATTAGAGATATTTTACCCCCTGAAAAGTAAGGTTTCCTGGTTCTTTGAAACCAGGTGTTTGTGCTGCCATTGTTACTGTCAGTTAGCCTAAAGAAAATGTCATCCTTGAAGCAAGATGTTCTTTTTTTTTTTGTATTTTTTTTTATTACAAAGTTTATTTTTACATCATTTTGCACATTTTTTTTTCCATCTCGATTATAATCCCCGCGGGTTTCCCATCACCAAATCACCCCTGTGCCACCACCATAGTCCTGTGCATTTCCCTCCCTTCCCCCCCCCCCGTTTTTGATCCCATTCCTCACTCCACCCCCACAGAATGTCTCTGGTATATGGTTGTTCATTATTTTTGTTATTTTCTCGCCTGGTCCATTATACTCCTGCTATGAGTGACACCATCCGGTATTTTTCTTTCTCTTTCTGGCTTAGCTCTCTAAGCATGATCTTTTCCAGCTCCATCCAAGTTGCTGCAAAAGACATGTGTTTCTCTTTTTTGGTTGCTGAGTAATATTCCATTGTATATATGTACCACATCTTTCTAATCCAGTCATCTACTTTTGGGCATCTGGGCTGCTTCCATGTTTTTCCAATTGTAAATAAAGCAGCTATAAACATGGGGGTACAAGTATCTTTTTCAATCAGTGTTTTTGTGTCTTTTGGGTAGATACCTAGAAGTGGGATTGCTGGGTCGTAGGGAAGCTCCATGTTTAGCAGTTTGAGGGACCTCCAAACAGTTTTCCATAGTGGTTGTACTAGTTTGCATTCCCACCAGCAATGCAGGAGAGTTCCTTTTTCTCCACATCCTCGCCAACATTTGTTGTTGCTAGTTGTTTGAAGATGTGCCATTCTCACTGGGGTGAGGTGGTATCTCATTGTGGTTTTAATTTGCATCTCCTTATTACAAGTGATGTTGAACATTTTTTCATATGCCTGTTGGCCATCTGCATTTCCTCTTTGGAGAAGTGTCTTTTTAGCTCTTCTGCCCATTTTTTTTTATTTTTTTTTTAAAGATTTATTTATTTTTGTGCATACAGAACTGGGGTACAGGCCAGAGACTCAGGGGTGGCGAAAGACTTTGCCAGAGACAGAGCGGGATGCAGAACAGGCAGATCAACGAAGTACACTGCTGAGGGGAGCAGCGGGCGGGTCAGGAGAGGTCTGCCTCGCCATGTGGTCACCTCCGGGGCAGGCGGGAATCGAACTCATGCGGAAGTGGTCTCAGCTTCTTAGTGCAGTGCTTTAACCCGCTGCGCCACCAGGGAGGGCCTCTTCTGCCCATTTTTTGATGGGGTTGTTTACTTTATTTTTGTTGAGTTTCATCAGTTCTCCGTATATTTTTGTGATCAGTCCTTTATCGCTACTTTTGTGTGAGAAAATGTTTTCCCAATTAGTGATCTTTCTGTTTGTTTTTAGTAATGTCTCTTTTGCTGTACAGAAGCTCTTTAACTTGATGTAGTCCCACCTATTTATCTTTGCCTTCACTATTGTGGCGTTGGGTGCTCTGTCTTTAAAGATGTCGCTGAAGTGTATGTCATGTAGTGTTTGACCCAGAAGCAAGATGTTCTTAAAGATGTATATCTTATGTTAACAGTAACAAAAATCATCACTGCTATTCTGTGAGGCTTTTAAAAGTGGATCCATTAAGTGGTTGCTTTGGACTTTGGGGATTTTAACCAGGAGGAAGCTTTTCTGGGCACCCAGTCCCAAGCCTTTGTTATACATAGTTGGGGTGAGGGGACGCTGGGGACAGGAGGGATGGTGATCACTTTATCGAAGTTATGGAGCAGAACAGAGACCAGGACCTGATCTTATTTCTCTGGCTTTGGGTTCTTGCCACAGTGACTTCCAGCACTTCACTCAGCCCACATGAATTATTAACTAATCAACAACCAAATTATATTAGAAAAAGTTTCTTGGTCTTAACAGGAACAAAGGCAGTTCTTTAAGAAAACTCTTTCTTCTGAGTCCACAAGTCCCTACAAAATTAAATTTTACAAGTAACACATTATCAGAAGTAACCACCTAGATTGGGGAATTGGAAACTTAAAATAGTAATTTGGGGATAATATACTGAAGGTGTTCAGATGGGCTACATGTTGCTAAAAAAGTGATTCTGGGGAAATATGTGAAGTAGCCAATTTACTTAGTAGTACAGAATTTTGCATCAAGAACACAAGTTTTCTTTCTTTCTTTCTTTTTTTAAATGAAAGGAATTTTAAGTAGAAGTTGCTTTGAAACCATGTCTTCTCAGCTTGGACAGCCCCAAGCAAAGAGTTATCTGTGGATTTTACTGTACTTTTCAATAAGGCAAGTGAGAAAGCAGATACCTGATGCTTCTAGACGCTTTGCTGAGTATTCCAGGCGGGAGGCATTCTGCCCAGCTTGTGATATGGAAACCGTCCAAACATTTGTTCTTACTGTTTTGCTTCCCTTTTTCCACACCAATTTAGGGGACCCTACCATTTTAACTGTTGCCTCTTGTCTTGCAGAAACCCTGCCTCACAGCAATGGTGGGAATGCCAACAGCCATTACTTCACCAATCCCAGTTACCACACCCTTACCCAGTGTGCCACTTCTCCACATGTCAACAACAGGGACAGGATCACCATTGCAAAGGTGAGAGGAAGTCAAGTCACGGTGAGTAGGGGCAGAGAAGGAATAGGCATGTGTGCCAGATGCTATCCTAGGGATGTCTAGATATCTCATTTATTCTCCTCAATAGTTTTGGGGTTGGCATCTCAAGCTTACTGTCAGAAACAAAACACACCCTGAGTAATGGGGAGTTTAAATCTCTTCCAAACAGGCAGCAAGTGAGTGAGGCAGCAGCAATGTGAGTCAGGGTCTCCCTATCTCTTCACCAGGACTATTTCCATTTGTACCTCTTTAGGAACATGTTTCCAACATTAAATGAGGTTTTAAAATAGTGAGTCATAGCCAACCTATAGAAGACCTAATACTGGGTAAACTTGCCAAGTTTATCTCTCCTAACCATCTGTCTTCTAGTGCCCCTTCCTAGCCACTTGTCATTTCATAACAACAGTGACAGGCATTTGTTTAGATTGAACCACTTTAAATTACATTTTGTAGGTACCAATAATAAGAACATACTGTATGCCAAGCATTTCTAATTATTTTACAAATATAAACTCACAGCAATCCTGTGAAGCCAGGGTCATCCTTATCTTGAAGAGGTTGGAGGCCCAGGGCTGTGTGGAACCCATGGCTACTCCTGCCATAACTCAACTCATCCCATTACTCCTCCACAGTGCCAAACATTGCTCCTTTCTGATTGCACCCCAAATTATATGTCCAATCCCTATTGTCTAATTCCAGCTCTCAATTCAAAGAAAACCAAGCTAATTAAATCAACACAGTTGCAATTAAATTAATGCAGCTGGATTTTAATTATAGTACCTCATAGTTAAATAGCACTTCACATCCTCAGGAGACTGTCGTGTTCATCATTGCATTTGTCCTCATACACATTCAAGAGGGGAAGCAAAGTAGATCATCTTATTCTCATGTGTGCAGTTAAGAAATCTCAGAGTTACTAGTGACTCATGCAAGATCAGACCGTGTTTGACATTTCCTCAGAAACTGTCATCATCCTTGCCACTCAACAGGAGTCACTTCATGTAAGGACCAGCCCTTGATACATGCCATGATCTTCCTTTCCCAGATCAGTTACACTGCATTCCACCATATTATATATATATTTATATATTTTTAAAGATTTATTTATTTATGCATACAGAACTGGGGCACAGGCCAGAGGTGTGGGGGGTGGGGGGTGAGAGGATTCACCATAGACAGAGTGGAGAGCAGAACAGGCAGAACTGACGAAGAACACTGCCCAGGGGAGCAGTGGGAGGGTCAGGAGAGGTCTGCATGCCATGTGGATCACCTCCCGGGGCGGGGGTCGATCTCATGCTGAAGTGGCTTTAGCTTCTTAGTGCTGTGCTTTAACCTGCTGCGCCACCAGGGAGGGCCCTATATTCTCTTTTTTAATCTTCTATTATCTATATTTTTTAACAGTCCAAAAACAATCAACTGTTTGTGAATTTGAAAAATGTGAATCCAGGCAAGAGGGGTCCATTAGTGGACTGCACAGGTACTCTGCCCGCGGACTGGAAACATGGTGGCTACCTCAACGAGCTCGGCAAGTTCTTCCTTCTCTGTCATCAACCAGGCACTGTTATTCTAGATTTGGCTATGCCAAAGCAATCTAAACATGTATCAAAAGCCAAAATAAGAGAATGATATCTACCATCTATAAGGGTTTATTACATGCTAGTGCATGATTTATTCAACAAATACTGATTGAGATCCTAGTAGGTGTCAGGAATGGATAAAAAGTAACAGGAATCTCTGCTTGCCTATAACTTATTTTTGAAATCTATTTTTAATTACTTAATTCTCACAAGTTCTCTAAGAAATAGGTACTATCATCATCATCATCATCATCATCATCTCTGTGTTACAGTTGAGAGAGCAAATCAAAAAAAAAAAGGTTAAGTAACTTTAGCAGGGGATTTGGGCCTAGTCACCTTGCTCCTCTTCATTCTCTTTTAATATGAAGTACCTGCATTTGAGGCCCATTTCCCCTTGTAGGTGAGGAAATGAAAAAAGTTAACAGGAACACAGGAGATCAAAGATTCTCAAAGGTTTGGAATCATGACCCCATTCACACTTTCTAAAGTTATCAAGGACCCCAGAGAGCCTTATGAATTATATCGATTCATAATTATATCGATTATATCTGCCCACGGACAGATATACCATATTACATATTAAAATTAATTAATTACCATATTACAAATTAAAATTATTTAAAAATCATTGTTTTACATGTACTTATAATAACAAAAATCTCATTTCATGAAAGCATAAAATGCATTTTTGTGAAAAACAAGTACATTTTCTTCCCAAGTAAATCATAAGAAAAGTAGTTCTGTTTTAAACTTTTGTAAAATCTCTTTAACGTCTGGCTTAATAGAGGATAGGAGATTTTCACATCTGCTTCTACCTTCACACAATAATGATCTTATACTTGGTAGAGCTCCTAGAAAATGCTTGAAAGACAATGAAAATGAAAGATGAAGACAATATTGTTGTAATACTATGAGAATAGTTTTGGTGTCCTGGCCCTTTTGTGAAGTGAATGGGGCTTCCTAGGCCACAGGTGAAGAACTGCTGTGAGACACTGTATGTAAACACACACCTTATTTTCAGGGAGGAGCTTGATGATAAAGTGAGGTATAAGATGCCCTGGGGGCATCAACCGTTCCATGTTTATTTGGAGGGAGGGGAATTTTCAAAAAGTTCAAAAATTGAATTTTGGATAAGCAACATTTTTTTTTCCCTAGTTGGAACATATTTATACTAGAAATTGTAGTTTCTCTGAAATTCAAATTTAACTGATCTTCCTTGTTTACATTTGTTAAATCTGGTCATACTACTGGGCAGACTTTTCCATGAATCTTGTTTTATAGAGGAATAAACTGGGAAGCACAGAGAAGTGAGCTTTCTTGTAAGTTATGCAAGGAAGTGGGTAAAATCAGGTCTCAAAAGGTGTTCTTTTGACAGTTATCCTCTCCACATACCTCATATGTCAGTTCACCTGAATCAGAGACAGACACCAATCCCTGTAGGCTCTGGCAACCCCTCTTACTATAGAAATGTAAATGCCTAAGTAAGAAAATGTGTACAAATTATTAACTTTTACCTACATTAATTCATCCAATCTACATAGTAAATGTAGTTTAAAAAATTGTATCAGTTTCATCATAATCTTAGTAAAGCCACTTAACATTGGGGAATTTTTTTTAAGGATTTATTTATTTATGCATACAGAGCTGGGGTACAGGCCAGAGGTGCAGGGGTGGAGAAAGACTTCACCAGAGACAAAGTGGGGAGCAGAACAGACCGACTGATGAAGTACACGTCTGAGGGGAGCAGCGGGCGGGTCAGGAGAGGTCTGCCACACCATGTGGGTCATCTCTGAGGCGGGGATCGAACTCATGCTGAAGTGGCTTTAACTTCTTAGTGCTGTGCTTTAACCCGCTGTGCCACCAGGGAGGGTCCACATTGGGGAATCTTTTAAAGACTAAATTACATTAGTAATTTAGCTCTAAAAGTATGTGAATGGTACTATATAAACTACTACCTGACATAAAAGCAGGAAAAGTTCCTTATTCCACCTCCATCTCTGGTAATCCGTTCAAACTCCAGAGCACATACATAGCTCCCCACAGTGGTCACATGAACTTCTTTGTTTTCTGTCTCAATTCTACCCAAGGGAACATAAGATATTGGCTGGAAATTCTCTATCTTGTTGGTTAATTGCATTCAAGAGAAATTCTGAATTTAATGACCCTTTAAAGTTGTTGCCCAGGCCAAGTCCCTTAAGCAGAATAAGGTCTGATTGTGGATGATGAGATGTGTAGGGGTCTTAAATGATGGAAAAGTCATTGTAATGTTGGCAGAAAGAACTCTGACCTTGATGCAAAAGGCCTGAGAACAATTCCTGCTTCTGTTACATGACTCTGGACCAGTTATTTCCCTATCAGCTCTGATTTGCTTATTTGTAAAATAGGAAAAATGATTATCTTTTGGCTCATTGTGTAAATTAGATTAAGCCAAGAATTTAAAAACACCTGAACAGGGATTAGGATATATGGGTGTTAATGAGGAAACCAACCTGTATACACTCTTGTTAAAACAGAACTCTGATCCTCTGAGGCACTAAAAAGAGAAATCTGCAAGGTTTCATAGCCCCAACTCTTTATCCCTAATTTACTATCCACCCTATGCTTTTCCCTTCTTTACCCTTGGATTTAACACAGCTAGTAGCACGTTGGGCTTTTAATAAGAGATTGGTATAATATGGAGATATTTGGTGGAATTTGACAAAGAATAACAGAGTTCCTTAGTAATGTACCAGGCTACCAGCCCTGCCCACATTTACTGGGTCCCTTTAAAAGTCTGAGAATCCCCAAAACCCTTTGTCCTGACACTGTCTGCAAAATGAAATCACTAAGACGACCCTCAGGGTCAATAATTTGCTAGACAAATATAAAGAACTCACTGAAAGTTGTTAAACTCATGGTAACAGTTTATCACAGCAAAGGAGTTCACATTATAACCAGCCAGGAAAAGAGACACAGCAGCACAGTCCAGGAAAGTTCAAAAACAAATGTTCTAGTTATCCTTTTGCAGAGGAATCATGGAAAGTGCTAACTTTTTCTGGGAAAAAAAAAAAAGGTAACAAAAATAAAGAATACGGTCAGCTGGGGAAAATCACCTCAGATTTGTTTACACAGACATGATTGATTGCCTATGAGATTCACTTACTCTTCAGCCTGTCTGGAGATGGAGTTGATATCAACTGACCCAAACTCCGGCCCTATATCTCTTTATTAGTCCTAGGCTTCCCTAGTAAATGAAAACACTCTGATCAGGCAGGACATTCCCAGGACATCGACGGACTCCCAGGATCAAAGGATCTCCCTTTGGCATAGTAATTCTTTACTGTATACCCTTTTATTCTACCTGCCTCTAAAACTCACTTTCTCATCAGTTGGGGTCTTCACTAAGCTTGACAACCCAGACCCACAAACTGATGCCTAACGAAGGAAAATGTTCCTATTTCCTGTCCCCACAATGATTGATATTAGACTTACCAGCTCCCTTTAGGGCATTTTCCCTCTTTTCTCCACAAAATTGTATCTCGATGAGACATCACTGTCAGAGCTTGAATTTAACATCACAAAGGAAAACAGTTTCAGGGAGTTCACACCCTAGCCATTCTCAAATTACTTGAATGTTCATCATCATCATGTCCATAATATTCCTTTAAAATATCATTGACAATGCCTTGGAAAGCTTACAGATGATAGACTACAACTGAGGATAGTATAATACATCAAGATGTTACAGTCGGTGAGACATCTTTCAATTCTATGGCACTTGGGTTTACAAACTCTTTTTATAAGCTATTTCACTTAACCACCCTATAAGCCTTGGAAGGTAGGCTTTGTTTTTCTCAATTTAGAATTCAGAAAATCTAATATCTTGCCCAAAGTTATATGGCTACTATGCTTTGAAATCTACATCTTTTATTTCAGTTTGAGTCCTGAATGGGTCCTTTCCAGAGTAACCTTGAGTCAAGTATACTAATTAACGTGTACCTCATTTTCTATCCAGAAGTGATCATTTTTCCCAAAGTCACTATAAATGAGCAGGAGAATGATTAGAATGATATATTTTTTTAAAGATTTATTTATTTATACATACAGAACTGGGTACAGACCAGAGGTGCAGGGCAGTGAGAGGATTCACCAGAGATATAGTGGGGAGCAGAACAGGTAGATCAACGAAGTACACTGCTGAGGGGAGCAGTGGGTGGGCCAGGAGAGGTCTGCCATGCCATGTGGTCACCTCTGGGGCAGGCGGGTATCAAACTCATGCTGGGGTGGCTTTAGCTTCTTAGTGCTACCAGGGAGGGCCCATAGATGGGCTTTTAATTCTAAGCCCTGGGACATCTGGCAAAATGGAGCTGGTGTAAAGGTTTAAAAATCAACATGGTGGTGAGATAGTGGATGCCCAAACCAACTTATTCCTTAACCTTGGAATATTCGATGAATTTTTCTCTTGCTTTCATTTCTCACTGGGCACTTTTTTTTTTCTTCCTTTATCACAGGTGCTTTTGGACTTGACAGAGGTTACATGGGAAAATCCTTGAAAGGTATGGTATAAATTCAACAAAGAAAAACACTTATCAGAAATCACAATTAAAAAAAAACATTCCAGAGGCAGAAATAATTTGTTAAACGAACAGAAGTAGTACTGCAAGAAAATGTACATTTGTTAAAGCAATAAATTATTTCAACAAACACACAAAATGGTTCAACTGACATCAAAAGACTGAATGTAGTGAATATTGGTAAAGCCTAAGTCTTGAGAACAAAGGTTTTAGCTTACTGAGAAAGCACTCACATTGTCTTTGAAAAAAATATGGCTGATATGAAGAAAGAAATATGAAAAAGTAAATAGCAGAGGAAATAGGAAGATATCAACAACGTCACTTATTCTCAGGAGGAATTTGAGTAATAACCTAACAGGCCCCATACTGAGATTTTACCAGGAATCCTCACAGCACAACTACCTTCCTTACCTCGGTAATCAATCTTTTTGTTCTTTTAGGGCTGTAACAGCTGGTTTCTTGACTGGGCCTTTGAAAATTTACAAGTGAATAGTAAAATAGAATGGAATTAATGGTATCTGGATATGATAATCAAAATGAAATTCAAGTTCATAGTCACTTACCTTAGGATCTAAAATTATTTTAGAGATGAACAATTTTAATTTTATAGCAAATTCTCTTCAAAAGGAGTGGGAGATGTTTAGTATTATTTTCAGTATACATAATTACACCTAGCTACAAAGAAAAAGAAGTAATCTTCCCAGTAATCTTCGCTAAGAAAGAAATGATGTTGTTCATCTGTCTTCACAGACCTGGGAAAGAATTCTGAATATAACTCAAGTAACTGCTCCCTGAGCAGTTCTGAAAACCCTTACGCCACAATTAAAGACCCACCTGTACTCATCCCCAAAAACTCAGAGTGTGGCTATGTGGAGATGAAGTCGCCAGCACGGAGAGATTCCCCGTATGCAGAGATCAACAACACAACTTCAGCCAACAAGAATGTTTATGAAGTTGGTGAGTTCTCCTGATCCACAGAAGAACCTAATACATAGGAATTTTTTAACACAGTTTTCATGACTTTGAGAATACAATAGCAGGTCATATAAACCTTACTAAAAATGGTGGCCAGTTTTAAAATGCAGCCCATCTTTTCAGTGATCAGATTAATTGATGTCAAATGAATTTTTCAAGGAAAATGACATTTAGAAAATTTAAAGTAATTTTCCCTTATCTCCCACCCAATCATCTTTTGTTCTATTTTGGCATGCCTGTGGAAATGCATATTCGTCCTATTAGCTAATATGTCAAGTTAGTCAAAATAAATGATTCAAGTGGATTAAACAGCTGCTTTTAGCAGGACTGAAACAATTTCCTTTTAAATTTGTCTCACATATTAGTAGTATCCTCAGATGTGAGCCTGATACAAATTAACATACACAAGATAATGATAACTCAACTTAAAATTAAAGTTACCTTTCTCAAACAATATTTGCAGATATCATTTGGGGAAGTTAAAGCATCAGAGCTGCCATTGGCTAGATACTAATGCTATATATTTTAATATTTTTGACTCTTTCATCAGTCATAGCTAAAACTTTACAAAATTCTCTAAGATTAGTAAATGAAGTGACTGGTCACTAGTAGTTCTTTGTATATTGCAAACCTGTCACTGGAAAGAGATATTATAATGATTTTTAAAATATTAAGATAGTTTTTGGAGAGTTGTAAACAGTTCTCTTTGAATGACCCTATAATCCCAAAACGGAAATAAACCTGAGAGCTACATCCTAAGTCCTAAGTTTCACAACATGTTATATGTTTCCACATGTTGCATTAGCCTGAAAAGACCTCAATCTCCTCACCTGCAGAGTAAGGGGGCTGATTATCTCCAAGGTGTTTTTTACACAATAATTTACATCCAGGGTTTCTGAATACCCTTTGATGTCTTCATCCCAACCACCACATACCCTTTCTTTTGACTACCAGTTGTGTGTGTCAGTGGGTCCACTGTTAAAGAATAGCCACCCCGTGTTATTAAGAAGAGATCATTTGTGTGGCTTTTTAAAAAGATTTGTTTTATTTATTTATGCATTCAAGAACTGAGGTGCAGAGATATGAGGGATGAGAGGATTCATTGGAGACAGAGTGGGGAGCAGAACAGTCAGATCTACTGAAATGCACTGCTGAGGGGAGCAGCGGGTGAGACAGGAGAGGTCTGTTGTGCCAGGTGGGTCAACAACCTGGCCGGGGATTGAACTCATGCCTCAATGGCTGGTGATAGCTTGATAGTACTGAGAGTTAACCCCGGAGCCACCAGAGAGGCCCAAGAGATCATTTGTTTTTAAAAGATAATTCTTCCTTTCATTTGTATAAAAGTTCTGTGTGTTTGGTATTTGCAAAAAAAAAAAAAAAAATTCTAATAAAAATACTGTATTGTATTTTTTAAATGTTCCCAATGCTAATACATTGTGTCCCTGGTTGTCACAGAACCTACAGTCAGTGTTGTCCAAGGAATATTCAGCAATACTGGACATCTCACCCAGGATCCATACGACCTCCCAAAGAACAGTCACATCCCTTGCCATTATGACCTGCTGCCAGTTCGAGACAGTTCATCCTCCCCCAAGCCAGAGGATGGTGGTGGCAGCAGTACAAGTAGCAACAGCAGTGAATGACACCAAAGGACCACTGGGTAGCCACTGGAACCCCTTCTAGAACTGAAGTTCAGTTCATTTCCATCCTCAAGTTTGCCACCTCCCATGAATGTTAATCTACTTGGTAGGCAGTTGTTGGATGTGAACCAGAAGGCGCAAAACTCACTGACTATAGGTCCTGTTTGTGCAGTTGGTATGGAAGGAGATTATCAATGTAATTTCTCCTTCCTGATAGTTTTAGAACTGTACCCGTGAAGCATGACTTATTGTAAAATCTTGACTAAAAGCATGACTTGCAGCACTCCTTCGGAGAAACGGGTTGTGATGGATATTGGTATTATTGCTTGAAAAATTAAATTTCAAATATTTTCTTGCTCATTTAGTTAGCATAGCTGTACCTAGGATTGTGCAGTTTACCATTAAATTTACTTTAAGTGTGAATCATTAAACATGTACAAGGAGAGGTGCACACTACTGAGTCTGTAGTGTGCTAGACTCAAAGAAGTACAGAGATAATACACAACCCAGGAAGAAACAGTCTTTCAAGTGGCACAGTAAAAGACTTTGAGTAAAATCTAGAAGTGGGTAGCAAATTTAAATATGAAAATTTTAAACCTTTTTCTTTTTAGAATAAAGACATGTATAATTAGAATTACTTTTAGGAATACTAGAATTACTGCAGGGATGAGAATACAGATGTGCCAAGCAGAGGTGACTCTTCTTTCTGTTTGACCCTAAGCCCCCTCTAAATCTATGTTGCCATCATTCTGACCACTGGCTCCATCATACACATTCTCCACTTGAGATCCATAGCATATCAGTTATTATTTCATCAATAGAAAAATGGATAATTTTATTTTTGACAGACTGGATTGAATGAGTGTATAATGATAGGAAAAAGTTGTAAATTTTAAGTGCAAGAAGACGCTTAAGTTTTGTAAGCCATTAGTAGTACATGCTGTAATATAGAATTAGCAGACTTTTTTGATTAATTTTTCCCTAGAAGTAACTGAATATTTTTGTGCATATTTGAGAAGAGGGCACTTTCCTTTTATTAATTGTTGGTTTAGAGAAACTATGCTTAAGCTGGTCTTTTGCATTGCTAATATGACATGTACCCATTTTTTCATTAATTTGTATTTTCATTTTTAAGATGTATATGCTATGTTTTGTAGTGTTTGTATTGTTAATGAAAAATATATGTTCATTGTTTCTTGTATTATCGACACTTATCTTTTTGCGTGATCAAAATGCATTGTTCTTTTTGCTTTTGGAAGGAAATGAAAAATATATCATTCAAATGAACTGAAAGTGGTTATTACTAAAATAGTACAATAACTGTAGGTGATAACTTAAAATTGAAATAGAGATGCTTTTTCATATTCCAAAGTGGAATTCCTTTTGATCTGTGGGTTCCCTGAGTCTGTGTTAAACCAGAGAAAATGGATGCTGAGAGCAACTGTTGCTGACTAAGTACCATAGACTGATCTTACTGAAGGTCATCATTAGGGTGATCATGTAATTGACTATCCAAACTGGGGAATGATTGAATGTAAATGGAGTCTTTTTTAATAACTTATCTGCTGTGTGTTCCAGCAGCTGAGAACAAATGGTCATTTTATGTGTACTCACACATTAACATTTTTACTCCAAGCTAGTTTTTTTATAAGAATGCTGATATGATGCAAGAAAGCCAGTTTCTACTTCTTGGACCTACCTTAGTAATGATTGAATGAGGAAGCATGCAATACACAGAAGGTATTGACCCTGCCAGTTATTAAGTGGGGATATGCAGTGAGCTCATGTCACACACCTGGGCCTTGGGTGGTGCGTTTGGTCAGGTAAATAGATGATAGATAGAACAAACACACTTAGGATATTCACTGCTTTGATGGCTGTTTCTTTTAGGAAACTCCAAATTAATTCACGGAAATATGGAGTTGCCTGGAACACAAGTTAGCAACAATTGATTTATTTCAACAACTATCCACTGCCTGACCCTTGATGCTAGGACATAGGATCTAATTGAGACACCGGTGGGCCGGTAGTCACAATGAGTATTTTCGGTAAGAAAAAATAAGATTATCTTGTCAGAGTTCTGTGGCAAGTTTGCATTTTCTCTTTACTTCCTGGAGATTTTAAGAAAATAGCCTGCTTCTGTTCTCATTTCACTATTAAAAAAAAAAATCTTTGTGTAGAGGCAATACAACTTCAGCAAAAAACTCAGGCAACAGATCTGAAATCCCAAAATCACTGCTGTTCTTCCTGTGAGTTCTTTGTGACAAAAAACATTGCTCAGTGTAGCTGTGGTCCTGAAACATTAAACAGGATTCACTCCCTTTTAAACCATGGAACACACATAGTAGCTTGGGTATTGTGAAAACTACATGTATTTGGGGAAGTGTCACTGAGAAGTCAGAATATTCTAGATGTTTTGATATAGATTTAGGTAAAGAGAGAAATACTTTTGTCGGGTGAAAATTAAAGAGATTTCAGGTGGAAATTTTTCAGATATGTCCAATTTAATTTGATGTTGGTGTCACTCTTTATAGTGGATCTATTTTCATGATCTTTGAAATATGCTAATATTAATTTATCTCCTAAAAATTATTTCTTCCTTATATCCCACAGTGGTCAAAGCAGTTAATAAAGTTCATGAAACCTAGCAAAAGGCATTCCGGGGAGAATATCATCCAAATTACTACTCTCTCTTTAAAAGTTGATATATTATAAATCTTCTGTTTGTAATTACATATAACCAAAAACTGACCCAAAATATAGTTCATACACTTGCTTTAATACAGAAAATGCTATTTGTAGTTGATTACATAATAAGTAGTATTTACAGTTAATTTATAGAACATGATATTAATTCCCCTTCTGTACAAACCTGGTTATGTTAATAGTTTCATTATTATCTCCTTGAAAAATTATATTCACCAAAGTAGAATGTACCAGTGTAGTTTTATAATTGGACCATTGTAACCTGTCACAATCAAATCCATTGGCACAAGTACTATAAATTTTGAGAAATGAAAGTTTGGTTATTTTGACTCCAAAGAACCACAATAGCAGTTATCAATGATCAGGATTTTTAATCATAAATATTGCAAAAGTTACACAAGAATAGCATGATACCATTTGGAATTCTTGTCACTATTAGAAGTCCACTTAACACTTAAAATAAGATGAAATCATAAAAAGTGAGAAGTTTACATTTTTCTAAATAAATATTTCATCTCCTGGTAACATGTCTTTATTGTTCAAACTACATACTCAGGCTTTGTTACAGGCTTTTGTTATGGAAAGGTATATAGATAAGTAAGTGTGAATCACATGGTGATTCAAGAATGAGTGCTTATTAAGTAAAAATTAGTACAGGAAACAGCTCTTTACTGTGTTCTTTATATTGCTTTCCTGACCCTGGTATATTTATCTGGCTCAGTATTTATTATAGGCTTCATTTTGATATAAACTAATTGCAATGCATACATTTGTTTTAAAGAAAAAAATCTAAGTAGCAAGCAAAACAACAACAACACAGTTGATTGTAGCAAACAAACAAAAAAATGCTTTCAGCATTAAAATATTTTCCAAAGATGATGAAATTGCATTGGTATTAACTTACACTGTCATTTATATCACCCAACAAATCTAGTGATTAATGCAGTAAGCTTCTAATAAAAAAAACTTAGTGTTTATTTCTATATCTGTTTCTATTGCTAATTAACTAGAAAAAAAATGATCCTTTTGGAAAAATTAGTATTTTTTCAGAGCTCTCATAGTACTTTATGTATACATTTAAAAATTATTATACTTTATTATATGTAATTAAATGTGTGTCTGCTTTCCCTTCAGAGTACTTGCTTCAAAGGACAGAGGCAACATTTGTCCATATTTGGATCCTAGAACCCAGGTTAGTAACTCAGAGTCAGATACTCTGGAAACAATTTTAGAATATTTTATGCGATTTGCTTTTTAAATTTCAGTAGCCTATTAAAGTTTTCTCATATATTTAAAATATTTTGAAGTATTCACTCTATAGCACTGTGTTCTAGGGATCAAATATGAATAAAACATTGCTTCTTCTGTTAGAAACTGCCTATTTATTGGGGGCTCAGTGCCAAGCACAGTAGAGAATACAGAAAAATATAAGGCAGGAGCTAGTTTGAAGTAGGAAATTGTCTAGGTAGGGAAGTAAAGTCTTTCTTTGACTTTGTAGGTTACTTAACTTCTCAGAACCTTGGGCTCTATATTGTAATGTGTTGGCAATAATGGTCCCTATTTCATAGTATTTGGTAGGAATTTAATAACTTTCTATATACAAAACACTTCAGTACATAACACACATCAAATGTTACCTATCATTACTATTATGAAAAATTAGCTAATAACAAAAGCCTCTCTACAATAATCAGATAAATGATGAGGCTGGTAAGTCAGAAGTGAACATTTAATGAATATTATAAAAACCCTATGTTCATGGGACCACATCCTGATCTATTTTTGTACTATCACAAAATTCCATACATATTTTATTTCTACAATGGTAATTTAGGAAAGCAATAACAATATGATTTCATCTTCTAGCAGCATATTATCTTATTATCAATTGAGAGTGCTTTTATAGAGACTGCTTGGATGTGGATTCCTGGGAAGATGGTGGCCCATATTCCCAAATATAGCCACCCACCTCGAAAAAATAATTGACCTGAAGAGGTTTCACATACGTCCTTGTGACTTTAAGCTCTTGTAAGAAGGTGCAGATGGATGAAAGGAGTGGGAAGGACAAAAATGTAAATTGGAGTTGCTTGGTGAGGACATTATAAAGGGTGCTTGGGGCGAGCCAGTTGACTTGGGGATAGATTAAGGCAAAATAAGGAAAGAATGTCTCAACTGTTTACATTCTGCATCTCTGAGAGAGGTGTACTGTCCTTAAATGAGGTTTAATGTCCCTATTAAAGGTGTGTGTATGTGGGGAGGGGCAGTTTCCATGACAGAGTAAGGATGAGGAGAGAAGTGTGAGGGTTGGGGGGAAAAGAAAGGCCTTTTTCTATAAAATGAAGAGATTCTTTTAACAGGTGGCTTTGGCTCGAAGTTTCCCATTGAGCTAACCTAAACTTAGAATTGTGCTAGCAGTGGAAGACACTTCCTGCTTTCTCTTTTTCCTGAGATCATACTTTTATCAGTTTAAAGTGACTATCTAAATCAAGGGCATCTAGGTTAAAATATGCTCTGTGGAATCTGTTCTGTGGAACATCTGTGTGGTCTGTTTTTTTTTCTTTTTTTTTATTTATTACAAAGTTTATTTTTACATCATTTTGCACATTTTTTTTTTTCCATCTTGGTTGTAATCCCCGCGGATTTCCCATCACCAAATCACCCCTGTGCCACCACCTTGTGTGTGTGTGGTCTGTTTTATGGTGGCACTCTGATTCTCTATATAAATCTATGTGTCCTCCTTTTTTGTCTTGGTACGGTAATCTGAGTGTTTTGTGAGTGAGTATTTAACAACTAGTTCTTAATTAAAAGTCATGCCATGACATAAATACTCCCACTATGGCCAATTACCAGCATGATATCACTCAATAAAGAGTTAAGAAGAGATGCCCACTGGTCTGCCATCATCAGTATTTCTACAACGCAGGGACAATAAATGTAAATGACCTTAAAGGCATAACTAATGGTAAAAGGTCATAAAAGAATTTATAATTAATAGTTTGACTACTTAACACTCTTGAAAATATAATTTATTCCATGAGAAGCTAACATACTTTAATTTCAAAATGAAATGTGCTTAACAACTGGCTCACAAAGTTCCTGAAAATTTAATAGTTGGCTCGCTCAAGCTTGAATGAACTATTCCAGCATATTACTAGGTTACCACAACCCTTATTTCTAATTGCTCAAGGTGAGATGGGAGATATGATCTCCACCCAAAACACTTACATGGACTCATGTGATATTGGAGCTGGAAGGGACCTCAGTGCATATTTTCTGCTACCTTTTCATTTTATATCTAAAAAAACTGAGGTTTGGAGTGTATTCATTCAAGTACTTATTTATAGAAAAGTTGGTAGGCACTAGATACCCTATTTCTTTTTTCTCCTAATTATGTTTACTGAGGGGAAATAGTTTACATGTTTTAGGGATTATAGGTTCAGATATTACAAATGTATGTTTTCATACCCTACCCACCCTCAAACCCCAGTAATCTCCCACAATGCTCCATTGCCTCCTGACCTTCCCCATTCTTACTCATTTCCCCTTCCATCTGATTACCTCCATTTTTCTGTCAGATGTCAAGTTTTGTTATGGGTTCAGGTTTGTCTTTCATATAATCCCATTTGTTTTTATTTGCTTTTCCTTCACTTATCAAATCCCCAATGACATCATGGAAGCCAAAGTCATGGAGTGTTTTGTCTATTTTTTTTTTACTTCAATATAAGTTACAGTTTCGGCCTTGTTTCCATTTCAAGTTCATTTTGTCCAAGGTATGAGGTGGTGATCTAGTTTCCTTCTTTTGCATGAGGCTGTCCAGTTTTCCCAGCACCATTTGTTTAAGAAACTCTCCTCCTGTCAGTTTATACAATTTTGTTATAGATTGTCTCTGGATGTGCAGGTTTACTTCTGGACTTTCAATTCCGTTCCACTGATGTGTGTCTTTTTTGTTTCAGTGCCAAGCTGTTTTGATTGGTATAAG